TTTGTAGGGCCTCCCTTGGAGGAAGGAGCCCCCCAGGTCCCATTGAGGGGTCCCACTGAGCCCCTCCGAGATCAAAACTCCCCGACTGAAGCAGCTCACTCAGCAGCCAGTTTTATTTATTTATTATTTCTTATGAAAGACATTTGTGCCCATCTCATATCCGACACCTCTGGGCAGCTTTTGACATAAAAACATGAAAGTCATCCATTATGAAATACTACAGCAGATAAAATCCTTAAGACGAGATGGCCAAGGGAGAGCGGGCGGGGGGGGAGGTTTTAATTGGTCAACCCCTTCCAGTGTGAAGCCCCCTCCCCGGTTTGGAGTGTGTGAAGCGGTTCTGACTCTTTGCCGTGGGAACTGCCTGGCCAGCAGCCGTGGGGAGCCCCGCAGAGCCCCCGCTGAGACCACGACTCAGGCTGCAGACTCCGCAAAGGGCCACCTTGAGGACAGGCAGAGGGGCAACCCCACAAGGCTCTCTGGGTAAGGAAGGAATGGGATTAAAGGAGCTGAGAGGCAGGCTGGGCTCTGGAAGCAGCCTGCAGGCAGCAGCACTCCGGCCCCCCTTAGGGTGGGCAGCTGCCAAGGATGCTGGGAACTGTAGTCCAGCAAAATGTAGAAGGACACACCTGGGATTAATGGGTTTCCCATAAAGAAAAATAGGACAGTCTCGCTTTTGTGTATACAGATAGTCCTCAATTTACCACCAAAATATCTGTTCTTAAATAAGACATTTGTTAAGTGAGTTTTGCCCCATTTTACGACAGTTGTTAAGTGAATCACTGCAGTTGATAAGTTAGTCACATTGTTGTTAAGTGAATCTGGCTTCCCTGTTGACTTTGCATGTCAGAAAGTCGCAAAAGGGGATTCACGTGACCCCGGCACACTGTGACCGTCGTAAGTGTGAGTCAGTTGCCGAATGTGTCTGAATTTTGATCATGTGACCATGGGGATGGTCGTAAGTGTGAAAAACGGTCCTAAGTCACTTTTTCCAGTGTCATAACTTTGAACGGTCACTAAATGAATTGTTGTTAGTTGAGGGCTGGACTAGAAGATCTCCAAGATCCCTTCCAGCTCTATTCTATTCTATTCTATCTGTAATATGTTCGTGAGGACTAAGTGTATTTATTTATTTATTCATTCATTCATTTCTGTAAGGAGGGGTCCTTAATGGGGACCTTCCTTTCCATGGAAACGTATTTCTTTCTTTGGTTGTTTGTTTACATGCCGCCCATCTCCCTCGGCAGACTGACAGGTGTCTGGATGGGTTCCCACTTGGGGACCCATGGACGATGGGAGGCCTGCCTGTCAGTCAGCGCCTGCCATCCACGCCTGCTGGCAGGTCAGGGGCTTTTCCAGGGGCGTCTGCAGGGGACGGTCACCAAAGGCCAGGCAGCGGCTGCGACAGATGGAGAGGCTCCATCGCACCTTCACGGCTGCCCTTTTGATTCCTTTTGAGCATCCCCCTCTTCAGTATTGAAAAGGGACTTTCTGCTTCTCCTGGGCTCTGCTCCCTCTTGACCGGCCGAGAGGGCTCTCCTGCTTACGACGACTCACTCCCGGGACCAGGGGGGCCAGGACATCTGCTTGAGCAGAGGGTTGGACTAGAAGACCTCCAAGGTCCCTTCCAACAACTCTGTTATTCTGTCCTATTCGGCTGCTCAGCGTGGCTGACCACTGGCTTAAGCAAAGGCCCAAGGAGTCCGAGACGGCCCAGCTGAGAAGGAGACCCTGAACCTCCAGAGGGAGCCTGAGGTGCCTGCAGCTGGAGGCAGCGTGGACTGGGCCAGCCCGGCACCCTCTCTGGGACTTTCTCCTGCCCCTGATTAGCCCTGGGTTTCAGGTCATATGAGGACACGGAATCGGTCCTCATGCAAAGTGCAGAGTTTGCAAAACGGGGGTGTTTGTGGAGTGTCGGTGCACAGGTGTGCTAAGGTTAAAGGTGCCAAAGCTAAATGCAGTAGGAAAGAGGGCAACTGAAAGAGGGGGGGCTGCTGGTCCCCCATCCTCTGCAAGGCCTCAGAAACCTTCCCGGTTGTTGCCTAACAGCTGGCGGGCGGCTTCAGTGGAATGGAATGCGCAGCTCAGTTCCAGCACATCTGGAGCTGCCGGTTGGAGGAGGTGGGGGGGGCTTTTGCACAGCTGCCTTCTCTGTTTGGCTGTTCCTGGTTCTGGATTAGGCCCAGCAAATCCTGCAATAACCCGTTGGATTCTTTGCTGGTCACCTGAGGTGGAGGTCTCATGTCGCTCACAGCGAGGATCTTGGTTTAGGGAACAAGCTGGCTGGGGAAGCCTGGGAGTCAAAATCCAGCCGTCTTAAAGTCAAGATCACGTGAAGGGTTAATACCACTTTATACGGCCCTGGAAAGGCCACACCTGGAATCCTGCATCCAGTTTTGGTCACCACAATGTAAAAAAGATGTTGAGGCTCTGGAAAGAGTGCAGAGAAGAGCAACCAAGAGGATTAGGAAGCTGGAGGCTCAAACATACTAAGAACAGTTGCAGGAATTGGGGAAGTTTAGTTTAATGAAAAGAAGGACTAGGGGTGATTTGATAGTGGTCTTCCAATATTTGAGGGGCTGCTGCAAAGATTAGGGAGTCACCCTCTTCTCCAAAGTACCTGAAGGCAGGACAAGGAGCAATGGAGGGGGACTGAACAAGGAGAGAAGCAATCTGGAAATAAGGAGAAATTTCCTAACCGTGAGAACAACTAACCAGTGGAACTTCCTGCCTCCAGAAGTTGTGGGTGCTTAAGAAGAGACTGGGCAACCATCCGAATGGCATAGGCTCCCCTGCTTGACCAGGGAGTTGGACTAGAAGACCTCCAAGGTCCCTTCCAACTCTGTTTTTCCTGTATTTTGGAAAGTTGCCAGGTTTGGAGGGATTTCTCGGAGGTTTTTGGGACTAAGAGGGGCCACTCCATCCGTGTCTTTGAGGTCATTTCAGCACCAGGCCGAGCCAGCCTCTTCCATCCTTTCCCTTCAACCATCGAACGGCAGAGATGCCCTTCAGGCTGCCAGCTAGCGTGTCTCTTGAGAACAAGGCAACAAGAGTGGCCTTTTTTGGCCTGCCAGCTCACAGACGGGGCCTGGGCTGGGTTGGCAGAGGCAGCAGATGGTGCGGCCCACGTGGAAGATGCGGTGCCAGGAGGGCAGCCCTGGCAGAGATGCCTGCAGAGGGACGATGGGCATTGCTTGCTTGGCAGCTGGATCTCCATCCCAAGTTTTACTCGGGGTGAAGTGCCGGTGATGCAGCTGGCACTTTGCTCAACGATGGTAGTCCTCGACTCCCAACCATTCAGAGTTTCAACGGCACTGAGAAAAATGGGCTGCTAACAATGTTTCAGACTTATGGCCAGGGTCACGTGATCAAAATTCAGCCGCTTGGCAACTGACTCCTTTTTATGACGGTCGCAGTGTCCCAGGGTCACGTGATCCCCTTTTGCCACCTTTAGATGAGCAAAGTCAAGGGGGAAGACAGATTCACTTAACGACCATGTTACTAACTTAATAATTGCAGTGATTCCCTTAACTGTGGTGGCAAGACAGGTCATAAAATGGAGCATAGACATTTGGGACTCAGTTGTGGCTGTAAATCGAGGATTGCCTGTACCTGCCCCACATGGAAACTCCTGCTGAGCTCCAGTGGCAGTGGGGGCAGGAGGGGGGCAGGGGAGGGGCTTCTGCCGCTTCCTAAAATCACCCAAGAGAAGAGGAAGAGGAGGGAGAAACTGGCGTGTCCTTGGTCCCCGGTTCAAAGCCTCACTTGGCCATGGGTGGGCTGGATGGCCCAGCACCCACATCCCCCCCCTTTGGCCCCCTGCTTTGTAAGGAGGAGGGTGTCGGCCTATTTCAAACGGAATGGGCCAACCCGCTGCAGGACAATTTAACAATTCTATTTAATTATTTAAAATCAATGAAACATTATTTTAATTTTTGTCCTCCCCATTTCATTCTGTTCCTCCTTTTTCCTGCTTTCTAGTCCACCATTTCTTCAATATTAGTGTAGCTCTTGTCCCACGGTGAGTTGGCCCTTCTTGAGTTGGCCGTGGAGGATGGTCACAGACTGGGGCTCAGGGAAAGCGGAGCCAATGTGGCTCAGTGGAGCTGCCCTTCTCCAGGCTGAAGGAAACAAGCAGACGAAGGCAGCAAAAGGCCGTCTCTTCCCAACCTTGGGCCACTTTACATTTTTGCAAATTTTGCAAATGGAATTGCTGCAAAAAAAGGAAAAAGGGGAGCAGCCAGGAGGAGAGGCAGCAAGAGCCAAGGGGGGGCTTCCCAGGGATTCTAAGGGCCGGAGGGAAAAGGGGAGCCATGGTCTTAAAGGGGCCAGTTGAGGTGAGATGCACCCCAATCTAAGCAATCAGCACCTCCAGCTCTCTCGTTGTCCTACCTACCCAAGATGATTCTTGGCCAAGGAGTTGTCAGTCCATCAGAATAGAGCTGGAAGGGACCTTGGAGGCCTTCTCGTCCAACCTCCTGCTCAAGCAGGAAGCCCTAGACAGTTTCAGACAAAGGGCTGCCCAGTTTCTTCTTAAACCCCCCCCACCAGCGATGGAGCTCCCACAACTCCTGGAGGCAACTTCTGTTCCACTGGTTAATTGTTCTCACTGTTAGGAAGTTTCTCCTCAATTCCTCTTCGGACGGTGAATTGTTGACCCTGAGGAATTTGGGGAGGCAGATCTGGGGGGGAGGGGAGGGGATTTTGCCTTCTGTCCATGCTGCAGTTCCAGAGGAGGGCAGCTGTTCTTGACCAATCAGCTGGAGGCCCAAAGCTGATGGGAGGCAGAAGAAGAGATGGCTCAGTAGGGCTGGGTTGTGGGTTGTGTGTGCAAGATCAAATGGATCTGAGGTCAGGTGTGATCAGGAGGATTGGCACAAGCAACCATCAGCTCTCTTCCTGGTTGCAGTGAGGGAATCGGCTCCTAGATTGGAGGAAGGGGTCTCTCTCTGGGAGAGCTGCTAACCGGCATCCTTTCATCCTGGGTTTTGTGACCGCAGGCAAATCTGAAGAAATTTATGGACTATGTGCAGACCCTGAATGTGGAGAAGGTCAGCAGGTTGCTGGAGAAAGGACTGGACCCCAACTTTCATGACCCGGACACTGGAGGTGAGATGAGGATGGGCGCCAAGTTGCCACAGCTGGCTGGGGAATTCTGGGAGTTATTATTATTTTTATTTTATTATTCATATTTCTATGCCGAGGACTCTGGGCGGCTTACACCAAAGACAGTATCCTAAATAGCATATTGCCCCCAACAATCTGGGTCCTCATTTTACCCACCTCGGAAGGATGGAAGGCTGAGTCAACTTTGAGCCAGTGAGATTTGATCCGCTGATCTGCTGAACTAGCAGTCAGCTGAAGTAGCTGCAGTACTGCACCCTAACCACTGCACCACCTCGGCTCTTGAAATTGAAGTCCACATATCTTCCAGTTGCCACAGTTGAGGAAGTCTGCCTTAAGAGGAACTTTGGGCCAAGGAGAGATCCTCTGCCTCTCACCTGTTTTGAAATGGTGTCTTCTAGAGTCTGGCCTTGGGACGTCTATAGCCCGATCCCTTGCTTGCTTTGTAGCACTTGGGATATTGCACACACTCTCCTCTCTGCAACGGGCCAGGCAAGTGTAAATGGGTGGGAGGAGTTTGGCCTAGCATGTTGTGTGAACCCAGCCCTGGAGGGTGGCCACTGAGGAAGCAGGAAGCCTGGGAACGTTTGTCTGGAGGGAGGCAGCTCCCTCGACACACGTGAACATCCTTCTCTCCGTTTGCAGCCTTCTTCCTACCCTGCCCTTGCAATCCAACCGGTCTTTCTTTCTTTCTTTCTTTCTTTCTTTCTTTCTTTCTTTCTTTCTCTTTCTTTCTTTCTTTCTTTCTTTATCTCTCTCTCTCTCTTTCTCTCTCTCTCTCTCTCTCTTTCTTTCTTTCTTTCTTTCTTTTTCTTTCTTTCTTTCTTTCTCTCTCTCTCTCTCTCTCTTTCTTTCTTTCTTTCTTTCTGAAGCACCTACAGACGTGTAACATCCAACAATGAGCAACTGAAACAGGCGTGAAAGAGGTCATAAAAATGTAGCACACTTAAAAATGTGTAAAATCAACAGGATTAAAACTAGATGACATTCACCCTGTATTGGGCCATGTCAATGGCATTTTCTCTCACCAGCGGGAGGTCTTCCTCCATACGTGTTGAAGGATTTTGTGTGCACCGTAGCACGTGTGAGATGCTGGGTTCTTCTCCACACTCTCACAGAGTGCCTTGTATATCCGATATCCAATGTCCGATCCCTGCTGCTGGCTATAAATTGAATCGCATTGAATGGAGTACTTTATATGGCCAAGTGTGATTAGACACACGAGGAATTTGTCTCCGCTCTCACTGTACATGCAAAATTAAAGAGTAATAAGAGTAATAATGATAATAATAAAGATACCCATAACAGAAGATAGTAGGAGAGATGAGAAGGATCATAGTAATACATGGGTAAATAGACATAAGAGAGTGCTGTGGGGATTAGGTTAGCAGAGTGATGGCATGGAGGAAAAAACCTTGTCGTTGTGTCTGGTTGTTTTGGCAGGCAGTGCCCTAGAGTGGCATCCAGAGGGGAGAAGGTGAAGCAGTTTATGTCCAGGGTCTGAGGCCCCTGTAGGAATTTTCTCAGCCCTCTTTGTGATGGAAGGCAGGCTGCTGGCAGTCGTTTTTTCTGCAGCCCTAACTATCCGTTGAAGTCCGTCCCTCTCCTGGTTGGTTGCAGAGCCAAACCAGGCAGTTCTGGAGGTGCAGATGACGGACTCAACAATTCCTCTGTCGAACTGGATCAGCAGCTCTTTGGGCCGTCTGAGCTTTCTGAGTTGGCGCAGGAAGAACCTTCTTTCTTGTGCCTTTTTAAGGACGGTTGTAATGTTAAGTTTCAAGTTTTATTTCAAGTGCAAAGTCACATGTGAATGAGACAGTCTTCTGCATTTGTTTAACGCCTACCTCAGAGGTCCAGGGAGAGGACTGTGTGACTCGATTCCCAAGCCAGGCAGAGCCAGGATTTTATTTAATCAAGATTATTTAAGGAGGAAGATGCAGCTGGAGAGCTTCACCCCAAAACAGGCCAAGTTATGACCATTGATGAAGTCACCCAGGCAAGGGAAAGGACTGCTCCAGTGGGACCTGAGGGGGATGGGGGGATAGTGACGGGTGGGACTGAAGGAGACCCTCCAAAGACTCCCTGCTGAGAACTCTCTCGCTTCTCCCTGCCCAGAATGCCCCCTGACCATGAGTGCCCAGCTGGAGTTCTGTGCCGAGATGATCAAAGCCTTGAAGAATGGCGGCGCCCACTTGGACTTCCGAACCCGCGAAGGGATGACGGCTCTGCACAAGGCCGTCCGATGTCGGAACCACACTGCCCTGCGGGTGAGTCTCCAATTCCCCCCGGAGTTGTGGGGCACCGCTCAGCCTGGACAGCTGATCCTGGTCCTTCAGGGTCCCTGCCAGGCCCTCCTTGGAGGGGGCTGGGAGGGCAGGAGCTGCAGCACTGCAGGAGGACAGCCAGGCAGCAGCAGCACGGTGGCCAAACAGCCAAAGGAGCCTCTTTGCTCTCCAAGGAAGAAGCTGAGAGAGGGAAGGTTTGTAGTTCTCCGGCTGAGCTGTGGGCTCCTTGGTGCTCTCTGAGCCCCATGGTTTCCTTGCAGACGCTTCATGACCCAACTAGAGAACATCGTCAGGGCCATGAAGGAGGGAGGAGGAGGACAAGGAGGATGAGGATGAAGGCTGTGGGGTCCTTGGTGCTCTCTGAGCTGGTGGTTTCCTTGCAGACGCTTCATGACCCAACTAGGGAACATCGTCAGGGCCAGAAGGAAAGGGGGTTTTGTCCTCTGTTTATCTATTAGTGTCAGCGTGGGTGGGAGTGTTAAAGAGACCCTCAGAAAGATAAAGGACCAAAGTACCTCCTTGCCAGCAATCAACAGCAAGAGAAACAGAGGTGGACACCAGGATTAGTATCAGACTAACAACCAAGCATTGAACTATACCCCAGTCAAGGAACTGCCGACTCAGGCAAAGAAACAGGAAGCAACAGCCCAAGCAGAGTGACAGGGCCAACCACTTGTGAGACCAGACACACACACACACACCCTCCCTTCTGGCTCTCCCTAGCTGGGCCATGAAACATCTGCAAGTCAACTGCCAAGCTCAGAGAGCCCCAGGGGCCCCAAGGAGGAAGCTGTTGTGTGGGGTACGCTACGTACATCCGGCTACCTTCGCATTCAGCCCTGGGGGCATCTTTGCTGACCCCCACACGGGGTCCAAAGGCACAGTTCCTGGAAGCTTCTGCCTCGGAATCCAAATTGTGGGCCTGCCCAGGTGCCACCAGGGCCCCTCGGACGTTTGGTACCCAGCCCCAGGGAGGGAAAGCGAGCGAATGGCTGCCTGCCTGCGCCTGGTGGGAGAATCGAATCTACCATCCTTAAATAGGCCAGGATGATGGATGCCTCCGAGGGCTGGCCGGGGAGGGGGGGATGCGATAAGAAGAGCTGGTGATGGATGGAAAGCAGGCAGGGATAAGAAAGGGCAGCTGAGTGAATGGAGCTGTGAGTCTCCCCTGGTTGTATGATGCACTTCTGGACAAGCCTATAAGAAGTTCCTGATTGGCAGAGGCTTTTCAAAGAATTAGACAAAAGGCTTTGAAAAGTTAAAAAAAAAAAAAAAGTTGGCCACACCCACCCAGTCACATAACCCCCCCACCTAGCCACACCCACACAATTGGTAGTAACAGATTTTACATTTCACCCCTCTTGGATGAGAAGCAAAATGTTTTCAAAGGAAACCCCCCCCCAAGAAAGTCCAGTTGCCTTTTGGGAAAAAAGCCCCTTTGGGACAGACCACCAGAGTGCAGCTGATGGGTGACTTTCCCACTGCTGTCAAAGAGGTCTCCGAAAGGAGAAATCCTTCTTCATGAGGCAGCCCATCCCACAGGCTCACAGCGCAGGCGGGGCGTTGAAGTCCACAGGTCTTAAAATGGCCGAGGTTGGACAGCTCCATTTCAAATAGCATTTTCTGCATCTTTTCGACACCTCCCACTTGGTTGCAAACTGTGTTTGTGCGCAAAGGACGAACTTGGGTGCAAAGAGTTTCGATCTGAGATGGGCGGCAAATACATTTCAAAAGATGCATTTATCTAATTAATAAATATTAAACACAAACATATACATACATTTATTTAACTGTTAGGATGAATTATTTAATAATAAATTATTAATGTTTATGTAATAATAATAATAATAATAATAATAATAATAATAATAATAATAATAATCCATCAAACATCCAGATTTGCCTATCCCAGGTCCTTGGTAAGGGCTCGATAGGTAGACAAAAATGCCAAGCCCAGTCTGAACATTTGGCTGAATGTGCAATGATTAAGAATAACAATAACAATAACAAAACAACAACAACACCTGGCCATCAGAACTACGCCATCATGGATGAAACATGTCACAGTGATACCCATGGTCATCGGGGCACTTGGCACCATGTCCAAGTGATGTTCAAAATACATCAAGAAATTGCAGCTTCCTGTAATAACACCAGTGGAACTGCAAAAAACTGCTACTTGGAACATCGTACATCTTAAGAAGGTAGTTGGTTGATAACCTAGGAGGCTGGCAGCAACCCCTATCAGCCATTAGCACCAGTCAATGGTATTTGTGCCGCATTTTTAAATGTTCAGTTGACTGAGTTTCATGTTTAATGAATAAAATATATAATAATAATAATAATAACAACAACAACAACAACAACAACTTAATAATACATCGTTCAATCAAAATAAATAAAAGTATGTGTTTGTTGGGCATAGAGGGAGAAATCTCTTTGGGAAGGCTGGCTCTGGTCCGCCCTGCCCCCCCCCCCCCCCCCGCTTTTGTGGACTTGTGCCACCCATCCGGATGGGCCAGGGATGCCAGGCACCTCCTGATGCCCCCCCACGTGACTTCCTTTGCACAGACGCTGCTAGACCTGGGTGCCTCTACGGACTACAAGGACAGCCGGGGGCTGACCCCCCTGTACCACAGTGTCATGGTGGGGGGGGACCCCTACTGCTGCGAGCTCCTCCTGCACGACTACGCCAAGGTGGGCTGCATGGATGAGAACGGCTGGCAAGAGATCCACCAGGTGAGCCATGCCAGTGGGGAGCACAGGAGCTCAGCCGGGAGGGGGGAGGGGCCCAGGTGGGGCAGAGGTGCCTCTCTGAGTGAGGAGAACCCCAGGGCTGAATCCCCACCCTGGCAGGGAAGGGGGGCAACGGGGAAATCCTTTCACCTGTCCTGTGGGCAGAGATCCTGCAGCAAACCTCCCTGGAGTGTGTGTGTGTAGGGGGGGTGGGGTCGTAAAATGGGGCAAAACTCACTTAACAACCATCTTGCTTAGTAGCAGAAATGTTGTGCTCTGTTGTGGTTGTAAATCAAGGACCACCTGTATTCTGGAATTATTTGCTAGAGCTTATCCAAGGCTGCCTTATCAGTGAGATGGGCAGCATATAAATTTAATAAATAAATAAATAAAATGAGAAATATTGCAGACCCCAAAGAGAAATAGTTCAGCATTGGGGGAGGGGGTTAGAGCTTTGGGATGGCAGCCTGGCTGGCACCAGAGGGCCACGGGGGACGGTGGGCACCAGGGGATTGGAAATCCAGACTGGGAGCTGTAGCGCAAGGGGGTGGCGGGCCTTGAAGTGGGCTCTGAATGCAAGTCCTGCCTTCCTATCTCCTGGGCAGGCCTGCCGCTACGGACACGTTCAGCATCTGGAGCACCTCCTCTTCTATGGGGCGGACATGACTGCCCAAAACGCCTCGGGAAACACTGCCCTGCACGTCTGCGCACTCTACAACCAGGTGAGCCCTCCCCCCCACCCCCCCACACACAAGCACACAGCAGCTGCTCGGCCTTGGCTTTGCCCCACAGGGGCACTCGAGCATCACCAGGTGTCAAAGGAGCTGAGCAGGGGAGGCCCTTGGGGGGGGGGGGCTCAACCTTCTGGGCTTGCTGGTCCTTCTGAAGATTCTCACCTGGCCCTGGATGAGGAGTTCCTCCCCCCACCCCAAAAGGGCATCGCTAATCCGGGTCTGGCAGGAATTCTGGCATCCCACCGATGGTCCATTCTCCGTTCTTTTTTCTTTCCTTCCCTTCTTTTTCTTCCCGAAAGTTAATATCAGGTTCCATTTACTTTTCAATAATGCTCCAAGGAAGGTGGACTTTGTGAAGGGAGGGGGGGTCCAATGGGGAGGGGGGAATTCCAGGGTCCTCTTGCAAGGGGTAACCGGGCGTAGCTCAGGGCTGGCCTGGCTTGGCTCTTTTGTCCGAATCCAGGAATTTGGACCACAAGGCCCACACCCTCCTCTGGGCTGAGGATGGAAGTGGAGGGCAAGAGACCTGCAGGGACCCCGCCCCCGTCCTCCTGGGGTCACAGACTACAGGGCTGAAGCTACCCCGCGGCCCAAAACCTCCCTCCTTTTCCTGACAGTGCATGGGGCAGGTTACGGCCAAGAAGGGAAGGCAGCCCCGTTTTTTTTGTTTTTTTTAATTTTGATTTATATGCCGCCCTTCTCCGGAGACTCAGGGCGGCTTACAATGTGCTCAGCAATAGCCTTCATCCTTTTGTATATTTATACAAAGTCAGCTTATTGCCCCCACAATCCGGGTCCTCATTTCACCTACTTTAGAAAGGATGGAAGGCTGAGTCAACCTTGAGCCTGGTAGGATTCGAACTTACTAATTGCAGACAGCTGGAGTTAAATTACAATGCATTAGTCTGCTGAGCTATCCAGGCTCCCCGTTGGCCCCTCCACACCACCATTGGCTGAACTAGGCCAGAGAAGCCGGCCTCCCTGCCCAGCCCGAAGGAGGTCTGACGTTGCCCCTCTTTTCTCTGCCAGGAGAGCTGTGCCCGCGTTCTCCTCTTCCGGGGAGCCAGCAAGGAGATCCGGAACTACAACAGCCAGACGGCGTTTCAGGTAGGAGTTGGGCAGGCAGGCTCTGGCAGAGGGACCCTCTGCTTCCTCCCCTGGCAGGAGAGGCTTCATGGGGGTGGGCAGAGGAAACCAAGGGAAGGGAGAGGCAGGGGCTGCTCGCTCACTCACAGCCACCCCTTTGGGAGGGCAGCGCCCCCTGGAAGGCCTGTGTCCTCCTGTCTTCCCCCTCAGCCCCACCCCCGGGGGCCTTAAATCCCTTAAATGGGAGCCAGCCGTGTGCTGCAGAGGCCAAAAAAGCCAACCCAATCCGAGGCGGCATCAACAGAGGGACAGAATCAAGACCATGCGAAGGGTTAATACTACCCTGTATAAGGCCTTGGTAAGGCCACACTTGGAATTCTGCATCCAGTTTTGGTCACCATATTAAAAAAAGATATTGAGATTCTAGAAAGGGAGCAGAGAAGAGCAGCGAAGAAGACTAGAGGACTGGAGGCTAAAATATATGAAGTACGGTTGCAGGAACTGGGTATGGCCAGTCTAGAGAGAAGGAGGACTAGGGCCCTGGGGGGACATGACAGCAGTATTCCCTGACTCTAACCCCCCAGAAGAAGGGGTCAACCGGCTCTCCAAGACAACAAACAATGGACGGAGAGTAACCAAGGAGAGACGCAACCAGGAATTAAGGAGCAACTTCCTAACAGTGAGGACAATTAATCAGTGGAACAGCTTCCCTTCGATCCATCACTGGAGGCTTTTGAGAAGAGACTGGACAGCCACTTTTCCATAGGGTCTCCTGCCTGAGTGGGAGGGTGGGTTTTTTTTTTTTTTTAATTTGATTTATATGCCGCCCTTCTCTGGAGACTCAGGGTGGCTTACAGTGCGTTAAGCAATAGCCTTCATACTTTTGTATATTTATACAAAGTCAGCTTATTGCCCCCACAATCCGGGTCTTCATTTTACCCACTTTAGAAAGGATGGAAGGCTGAGTCGACCTTGAGCCTGGTGGGATTTGAACTTGCAGTAATTGCAGGCAACAGTGCTTTAGTCTGCTGCGCTACCAGGGCTCTTATTGGACTAGAAGACCTCCAAGGTCCCTTCCAACTCTGTTATTCTGCCCTTGAAGTGGAACTCGGCTGCTGTATCAAACCACAGAGCAAGACTTGCCCCAGAATAGGGACCAGGGCCGTTTGGGATCGGGATTCTCCGCTCCTGACCAAACCCAAGCGGAATGGGGCACTTCCAGTGGCCCCTGAGTTCTGTTGGGGTCTTCATCATGTCCCCTTGAAGCCCCGCGACTGGCATGAATCCCCCCCACCCGCATTCATCCGTCTTGGCTAACATGAGACGGCCGCCTTGTGATTTTTCCATTTGGAGAGCTGCATTTCACGCCCGTCTGTATCCATTACATACTTCAAGTCAAAAAGAGGCATCTTGCATCAGTTCCAGTTCCAGGCCTTGTGGGGGGGGTGATCAGACCCCTGCCAGAGCCCCCTTTCCTCTGCCCGAAAGTCCTCAGAGAAAAGGTGGAGCCACTGGAGCGCATCCCCTCTGGGGCCCACACCAGGAAGAGCACCCCAAGCAGCCCTGAATCCCTCCCCCTGGTTCAGAGCTGGAGAAGGGGAGCCATGTGGGGCCAGCTCAGCCTCCCCGCTGCCCCTTCTCACCACCTGCTTTGATCAAACAGCCTTTCAGGCGCAAACACCCAGATCCACACATTGGTTGATAAGAGTTCAATTAGTTACTTTATTGCTCTGGGCCTGTTTTACAGGAATCTTCCCAGACTAACAGTTTGCACCCAGGCCCAATTACGTAAGGTTCAATAGCATTCAAAGAGGGTCAGACTTCACCCTTATGTGCCCACGTAGGGATGGTAGCCTAATTCCCCATTTGACTCCTCTGCCAGGCTCTCTGTCCAACACCGTCTGCCAGCCTTCTCCACCACTGGCTGCCTTGGCTGTGCAATGGTTGGTACCTCTAGGAGAGGGGCATGGGGGCACAGAGGGCATCACAACTGCCCCAACTGAATTGCACAGCTTTCACTTGCTGTTGGGGTGGGCAACTGACGCCCGATTCTGCCTCTTCTGGGCCCCATCTGAAGTGGACCTTGGAGATATCAGATTCTCCCCAGCCTGAGGGGGGCATCGGGGCTGCTCCTCTCCCTCTGAATAAAAGTACGCGGAGTCCTGATATCCTTGGCAAGGGTACTGAATGAGGCATGTAAGGGAGCCTGGCCCTTTTCTCCTGACCCCACAGGGCGTCTCCCCCTTTCAGAGGCATCTCTGTGGGTGTCCCCAGGGGCTCAGAACACCATTTGTCATGCCCGGCTCTTCCTGGGGTCCAATCCTGCCACAAACAAACACCTCTGGGCTTGGCAGCTTGGACCGAGCGCGTCCATTCCTGTGTCCCTGTAAGAAGTCAAAGGGCCTACTTTGCAGGGCTGTTGTGAGGCAGAGTGGCACTCAAAGAACTCTTTGTGGTCAGCAGCCATCCGGCTCACTCTGGCCTCTTTGCTTGCAGGTGGCCATCATTGCGGGCAACTTTGAACTGGCGGAAATCATCAAAACCCACAAAGAGTCCGACGTTGGTAAGTGTGTGACCTTTGGCCTTTTGTAGGGCTGAGAAGCTCGGGGGGGTCAGCCTCTTGCCCTCAACAATCTGGGTCCTCATTTGAGCAACCTGGGAAGGACAGAAGGACGAGCCAAGCTTGAGCCGGTCAGGATCAAACTCCTGACTGCGGGCAGAGTCCACCTGCCATCCACTGGGCCAGCAGGGCACCAAGGCTCCCAGCAGCTGGGTCAGTCCAGGTCCAGTGACTTGACTTCTGCCAGAGAATATGGGCTGGCTGGCCCTGGTCTCCTTCCTGCCACTCGTGGGTGCCCACACCTGGCAAGCTGGGTGGGAAGAGACGCCTGGAGGGCACGGCAGCCCTTTCGGGCTAAGCACCATCCGTCCATGGCACGGCTGCCAGTTCTCTCCCAGCCCTTCTGGAGCCCCGGACACAGAGTCAGGAGCTGAACTTATGGGCTGCTGGTGGCATCGGGAACAAATGGGGAAGTCCTGCCAGAGAGGAAGGGCTGCCAGAGTTGGGGGCGCAACCACCCAGCTGATCCTGAGATCGCAGCCAGGAGGCGGTGTTTTGAGAGGAACCAATTATATTGATGTCCCCACACGGTGTATGTAATTGTATGATTCGTTACAGTTTAATTAACTACATCGCCCAGAAATGACAGCGAGGTTTTCTTCCTTAATTGGTTTCTCTGGCTTTGGGGCTCCCTTTGAAAAAGGATTTTATTCGAAACACGGGATCCACAGAGGCTCTGGAAACAGCAGGGATGCCCCCACCCCCACCCACCCCCAGCCGACATGTGCTTCCGAAAGGACAGGATAATAGAGTAGGAAGGGACCTTAAAGGTCTTCTAGTCCAACCCCCTGCTCAAGCAGGAGACCCTACCCTGTTTCAGATAAGTGTCCAATCTCTTTTTAAAAAGAGATTTTTAAGGGCACGGGAGCAAATCCCCAAATTAAGACAGGAGGGCTTGAGCCCCAAAGAAACAAGGGCAAAGCCTGGCCCCCAGCCCTCTGGAGGTGCTTGGGGCCCCAGATACGCAGGGTCTCTGCTGAGGGGAGGGGGCTCCAAGGAAAGGGGAAGGAAGAGGCTCCCAGGGCCAGGAAGAGGGTAGCAAATGCAAAGTCGAGAACTGGAGGCAGGAAGGAAGGTACCGTGGAGATCATCTAGTCCAATCTCTTGCTGAGTGCAGACGCCCACCCTCCAGTCCAGTGCCAGATGGGTTTTCACAGCCTGGATCTGGGGGTCCTGCCCCAAGGAAGGGCCCCAACCCTCTTAGCTTTCCATGAAGCCTGGGAGGCCACATGCCCCAAGCTCCCCCTCCCCCTCCCGGCTACATTCCCCATGGGCCAGATGGCTCCCTCGCCAGGGACTTGAACGAGGCGTCTGAACGGTTTTTATTCTTCTAAAATGTCTTTAAAGATTTTAATTGTAACACAGGGAGTCCTTGACTTACAACAGTCCATTTAGTGACCATTCAAAGTTACAACGGCACTGAAAAAAGTGACTTGGGACCGTTTTTCACTCTTATGACCGCTGCAGCGTCCCCGTGGTCACCTGATCAAAATTCAGACGCCTGGCAACTGACTCGTATTTATGATGGTCACAGTGTCCCCGGAGGTCACGTGATCCCCTTTTGCGACCTGACAGGCAACGTCAATGGGGGGAACCAGATTCGCTTAACAGCTGCAGCGATTCACTTAACAGTGACAAGAAACGTTGTAAAATGGGGCAAAACTCACCAGAAATGTTTCACTTGGCAACAGAAATGTGGGGCTCAATTGTGACTGGAAGTCAGGGACCCTCTGTAGATGGTTCTGAATTGTGAGCCGCCCAAATTCGTTTGCTGAGATGAGTGGCTATCGAAACCAAATAAATTAAAAAAGAAATAAAGGAAGGAATTCCTTTCCCGGGCCTTCAGTGTTCTTGGGGCTGGGTGGGGCCGTTCAGGCCTTGCTCCCTGGGGGAAATTCTCCCCATGGGCTCCCGGAGCCAACGGGGGTGGGGGGGCAGCAGGGCTCTTCTCGTGGGAGCCTCTCTTGGTGGTGAGAACCTGCCGGAGAAGCCACTGAAGGAAGGAAGAAAATCTTGCTGTCATTTCTGGGCGAGATGGCTAATTAAAGCGTAACCAATCACACCAACAACCATGAAGCGACGTCAATATAATTGGTTGCTATCAAGATTAACAGGACATCTGAAACCAATGACGGTCATTAAAGGAAGCATTAAAGGAACACAGGGCTGCGAAGTGGTTCCAAAGAGGAGGAAGGGGAGAGAATTAGAATTTGAAATAGGAAGAATGTTACCTCCAGATTAGGTCAGAGGGACGGATTATTCGAGATCCGTTTCAATCTGGATTCAGCTCAAGATGTGCTCCAAAGACCTGGCTTTGACTTGCCTTGCCTTGCCTTCCTTTCCTTCCCTTCCCCTTCCCCTCCCCTCCCCCCTTTCCTCTCCCCTCCTTTCTCTTCCTTTCCTCCCTCCCTTCTTTCCTTTCTTCCATTTGATTCGCCTGCCCATGACTCTGGGCAGCTATTAAAACCACAAATAAAATTAACCACAACCTTAATGCAATGAAGCCAAGTTTCTTCAGAGGCATCCTTCAATTCTACAACTATATAACCAGGATCATCTAACATCCCAGCCCAAGGCCAGAGGGAATACCATGATATTAAAAGCTTTTTGGAAGTCTATTTCCAAAATTAATGGCTGGTAGACTTGAGATGGGTAAATTCAGCCCTCGGGGTCTCATTTGACATCTCAACTGCCTTTGATACCATCCATCGTAGACTCCGGAGGTGGAAGGGGGAGGGGGCCCTAATTTGGCAGTAATTCTTCTTCTCCTACCTCCTCCTGGGACTAGATGGAGGACCACCTGTAGGAGGTGACCAGGCTGAGCACAAGGGAGGGGTCAAACATGCCATAAGTCACAAGTCACTTCACACTCAGGAGAGATCTAAGTCCAGCCCACCTTGAATTGCCTCTCTTATCTCCCGCTCATTCCCCTTAACTGTCAGTTGGCCAGATTCTTATAGAAAACTTAAGATTGCAAGAAATCTTTATACTCCTTTGAACATCCCAAATCTCCTGATTTCCTGGGAGCTTAAACCACCTACTCCCAGGACGGTGGGCTGATAAGAGTGCCCTATTCTTACCCCCCACCCACCCCACCCCCCACCCCTTTTAGCATCTCCACACAGCCCCGAGAAAGGACGCCCATCAACACAGGGTCAAGCATCCTCCGTAGGTGGGGTATTCCAGACCTATCTCTGGACCCTGAGCCAAAGGAGAGATGCAGCTGGGGGGCGAGAAGGAATCACGCCATGCCAGCTCAGTCTTAGCAAGGTGGGGCAGCTGGCTTCGGATATGTTCCATCTGGGGTTCTGGATGGGGCTGAGCTCCCTTGGAGTCCACTGGCTCCTCCTGGACTCACAGATCCTCCTGCTTGAGGAGAAGGTGGCCGCCCTGGCCAGGAAGGCCTCTGCCCACCTCTCTGATGTGGCAATAGTGCCCACTTCTGGATCAGGAAGTCCTGCCTGGTCCCTTGATGCCTCTCCACAGAATCACAGGAAGTCCTTGATTTATAAGAGTTCATTTAGTGTCCCAAAAGGGCTTTTTCCAAAAGGCAACTGGGCTTCCTTGGTTTTTTTTCCCTTGAAAAGTTTCGCTTCTCATCTAAGAAGCTTCTTCAGTTCTGAATTGAACTGAAGAAAAGGAACTGAAGAAGCTTCCTGGATGAGAAGTGAAACATTTTCAGGGCAAGTCCAGCTGCTTTTCGGAAAAAGCACCTTTGAGACAACCGTGACCTGGATGATGGAGAGTCTCTCCTTTGAGATTCCACCTCACCTGTGTCAGATCAGACACACCCCTGCACCCCTGTAAGGAAGGGAGCCCCTTCCCTCTTTGCAGGAGACGAAGGCTTTTATTGAGGAGGAGAGCTGCTGTTCAGTGGGTGGGATGAGCAGTTACGGCTGCCGTTTGCTCTGCCTCCTGTTATTATAATTTATGGCTTTAATCTCCCTCATTTCCCGATTAGCGCCTGCACGGCTGACATTCATTTACAAGGGAAGCCGCCTATAAGCAAACAAATAATCAATGCTTTTTAATGCCAGGAGAAATACGGTCCTTTGAAATGTAAATAGCATTTATGTGAGTTGGAAGGGATTTAAAGGGGGGAGAGGCAGGTGAGATCAGGTGTTGGGCTTCACCTGTTACAATAATAAGCCATTTTCTCCTGCTTGGGTTTCCATGGGGGGGGCCTTCATCCAGGGTCTTCAGAGGTGACCCCAGAGGGGGGAGGGGGAGGGGGGCTCGGCAACAACAAAAGCAGCACAGGCCCCGCCCCTTTTGGCTGCAGGTTATGTCACAGGTGCAAAGCCTCCTCTTTTTTGGGGGGGGGGGAAGCCTTACTTCGTGCAGTGCATTTCACTTAGTGACCTCCAAAGTTACAATGGCACTGAAAGAGGGGACTTATGACTGTTTTTTACACTTACGACCACACGGTCAAAATTTGGATGGCTTGGCAGCTGACTCAGATTTATGACGGTTGCAGTTTGCCGGGGTCACATGATCCCCTTTTGCGACCTTCTGACAATCAAAGTCCACAGGGAAGTCAGATTCACTTAACAACTATGTCACTAAACAATTACAGTGATTCACTTAACGATGGTGGCAAGAAAGGTCGTAAAATGGGGCAGAACTCACCTAAGAAATGCCACGCTTAGCAACAGAAATTTTGGGCTGGATTGTGGTCGTAAGTCGAGGACTACCAGTAAAGTGAGGGCCTGTCAGATGTTGCTGAACTACAGCTCCCAGCAGCCTCTGCCAGTATGGCACAGGATGCTGGGAGCGGAGGTGACAGATTCGGCAGGGATTCTTTCTGTCCTGAGCAACGGGAGGGAAGTAAGATTTCCATCCCAATAGATGGAATTGCATGCAGAAGCTGCAAAAATTAAAACTAGGGTAATGGCAGCTGTCACTTTTAAATGCTGATGTTTTCTGGATGTTCACACCATTGTTGTACTTTGTCACATACTTCTAGGGCAAGAGAGAAGAATGTGTGTAGCTGGGGTTGAAAGGAGGGGTGCTCCCTGAGCTCGGTTGTTTTCTTGCCGACGTTTCATGTCCCAAACTCACTAACATCAGTGCTAGTGAGGAGCAGGGTTAATATATATTATAAACAGAGAGCAAACCCCACTCCTTACTAGCACTGATGACGTTACCTAGTTTGGGCCATGAAACGTCGGCAAGAAAACAACCGAGCTCAGGGAGCACCCAGGACCCCTCCCTTCCAGGCTATCCTTCTCAGTTTCTTTAGGTCTGGAGTAGCTGGTCTGTATAGCCATATCCCTGGTCTGATGTGGAACTCCTTGCCACCGGAAGCCACTCTCTGTAGCTCCTTTCTCAGTTTTAAGGGCACAGTTATCCCTGAGAGAAAGGAGGGATCAGGGAGTCCAGATAGGTGACAGACCAGGAGCTTCAGGGGGCTGCTTTGAAAATCTTGGCCCCCAATTTGGGCCCAATCCAATCCATGGCATCTCTGAAGCCCCGCCTAGCAGGATTCTCTCTCCCTCGCCTCTAAAGAGACAAACCTTTCTGCCCCTTTGAGTCAGCACACAGGAGGGCAAGAATACAGAATAAGTCTTGGAAGGGAGCTTGGAGGTCTTCTAGTCCAACCCCCTGCTCAAGCTGGAGACCCTGTACCATTCCCCATCAATGGCTGTCCAATCTTTTTCTTAAAACCCTTTAAAGAGCTGGAGAAATCTCCTTTTAAAAAGTTGGCTGTGGTTTGGGTACTCCCCACATTCAGAAGGCCGGGAGGGCAGGGGCGAAAGAAAAGCCTTCCCACGTTGACCCAAGCCAGCGAAAGTCAGCAGCGCTGGTTCCGTGGAGCAGACATCAAGCAGCGGCCATCCCTTAAGGGCAGGGGGTCCTTCCCAATGCGCGGGTCCTGGACTGGCACCCGTATGCCACAACCCGGGTCGCGCAAGCAAGCCGAGCCCCATCCGGAGGATGCAGGCAGCCTGCGTAACCACATCCCCTCCGATCCACGGAAAAACCTCTCTCCGCGGATCCGCTCCTTGGTGCCCAGAAGCTTCGGGGCCGCTATTTTAGGGCACCCGGCTCCCCCCTCCGCCCCCTCCTCCCGAGGCAACTGGGCTGCCGGCTCTCTTAAGAGGGCCCGCCGGGGCATGGGCTCCCAGAAAGGGGGCCTGGCCACTTCCCGGATGGGCCTCCAGGTGAGAAACGGGAGGCGTCCGCGGGTCACGCCATGCTCGCAAGGCTCCCCGTCTCTTTCCTGCTGGGGTGGGCAGGTCGGCGGGGAGAGGTTCCTTCTGCCCACCCCGAGCTCCTCTGCGCCCCGGAGGTCCCTGCCTCAACTCAGGCGGCGTTTCCCGCTGGATGCTGACCTCGGTGCAAGCGGTGGGCAACCGCTCCCTTGTCCTGCCCGGGGAAGTCAAAGCGGCTCGCATAGAAGAGACGAACAGAGTCGGAAGGGGCCTTGGAGGCCATCTAGTCCAACCCGCTGCCCAAGGAGACCCTACCCCATTTCTGACCGGTGGCAGGGCGGTCTCTTCTTGAAAGCTTGGTTGTGGTCCGGCCGTGCTAACCGCCCCCCCCTCTCTCTCTGTCTCCCGCAGTGCCTTTCCGCGAGACCCCGAGCTACACCAAGCGGCGGCGGCTGATGGGGGCGGCCGGCCTCTCCTCCCCGCGCCTGCTCCAGCGCTCGGCCAGCGACAACAACCTGAAGGAGAGCCGGCCGTCCTACTCGCCGGCGCCCTCGCTCCGCGGCCTCCCCCCGCAGCTGCTGGCCCAGATGCGGGAAGCGGCGGGCGAGGCCGGGCCCCGCGGTGCCCACAGCCGCTCCCCGTCGCTGCAGCGCGTGCGGGAGGAGAAGGAGGCCGACGCGCCCTCCCTGCGCAGGACCAGCCGCGCCAGGCCCAGGTGAGCAGCCGCCCCGCCGGACGGGATGGGACTGGACGGGACGGGGAGGGAGCGGCTGCCCCGCCCGGAGCCCCGGAAAGAGGGGGACGCGCTCTGCCCCGATGCGCCTCTGGATCGCCTGCTCTGACCGCTTTCTTCACTCTACATCCATTTGGGTGGGGGGTATCCTTCTTTATAAGTAACTCCAGGCTACGAAGAACAACCCTGCTTCTCCCTTGCTCCTCCTCTTTTTCCCCACAACAACCCTGTGGAGTGGGCTGGTATGAGAGAGGGGCCCTGGCCCAAAGCCAGCTTTATGCCTGAGGCAGGATTAGAACTCGCAGCCTTCCAGTTTCTAGGCCACACCTTCACCACCCCAGCACACTGGTTCCATCCAACCGTCTCACAGCTGTGACGGTGATTCTTTATCCCTGGCCCTATATGGGGAGGACAGAACCTTTGAGCCTAGGAGCTTTCCCTCTCTTTGGCCCCATATTGGATGTGGGGGGAGGACGGTTCCCATTACTTCTGGAGTGTGCAGCCACAAGCAGTGACACCACTGTGAATCTGAAGGGTGCCACTGCCACACCCTGGGGATGCTTGGGCTTGAGCACAAGAGTCCCTTTCTTGGTGGATTGGTGGTATCTGGGTTTGATCCTGGTTAGTTGGTTAAAACCTGGGTTGTTTGCCAGGGGAGGGGATCAGCCTCTTCTGCTTGTGTAGAGCTGCAGCTGCCTTGCCCTTCTGGGTGGAAGGAGGTTGGAAGGTCTGCCTGAAGCTTGAGGAGCAAAGATTTAGAGAAGCCTTCCGTTCTTATGAAACTTTCTCACCAGGGTCCTGTTTTCTTCTCCTTTTTTTTAATTTGATTCATATGCCGCCCTTCTCTGGAGACTCAGGGCGGCTTACAATGTGTTAAGCAATAGCCTTCATACTTTTGTATATTTATACAAAGTCAGCTTATTGCCCCCACAATCCGGGTCCTCATTTCACCTACCTTAGAAAGGATGGAAGGCTGAGTCAACCTTGAGCCTGGTGAGAATTGAACTCGCAGTAATTGCAGGCAGCTGGAAGCTAAATACCTTTAACAGTAGCATTAGTCTGCTGCGCCACTCAGGCTCCTTCAACATTCCTTCACTCACAGGTGCTTTGCTGACTGGCTGAAGGTAGCTAGAGGCAACGGTCAGTCTTGGTTTGCACTTAAGCCACAAGCCACCAATCTGGGCCTCTTCTCCAACCAGAACGTTGACATTCTGGGAATCCTATCTAGTCCCTTATCCCGGATGGTGCTTTTTCAGGAGGCAACTGGACTTCCTTGTTTTTTCTTTGAAGGTGTTTCACTTCTGACAGAGCTGAAGAAGCTTCTTGGATGAGAAGTGAAACATCTTCAAAGAAAAAACAAAGAAAGCCCAGTTGCCTCCTGAAAAAGCTCCTTTGGGACAACTGTGGCCTGGATGACGGAGAATCTCTACTTATCCTGGAGTTCTGGGGTGCTGGAGGGAGCCGGCTGGAGCCCCAGATTCCTTCCCGCAGACAGGGCTGCCTGGCCTCCCTCTTTCCCCGGCTGAACCGCTGTTGGCTTGAGGGTGGATTCTGGAAGATGGGTGAGGATTCCCGGGGGGGGGGGGGGGGCTTTGGGGTTTCCACCCGACTTCTTGGAAGAGACACTCAATTTTCAGGAAAGGAAAGCCAGGTGGGACCAAGGGGTCAGCCGTTGCCCTTTGAGTCCTGTGGATGTGTGTCCAACTGGGTCCTGACCCATTTTGTTTGGGGCCACCTCACCCACCGGGTGGGGAGGGGGGCGCTTCAAGGCCTGCTACTCTTACACCAAGGCCGGAGTTCTGGCAGAGCCCCTGCCTCTTCTCCCCTCCCTCCCCCTGAGAGGCTTCTCTCATCTGAAGTTCTTTGGAGAGCTGGGTGCAGCCTGGGTGGCCGCTGGTCAGGGAGGGAGCGGTGAGCTCATTTTCTTGGAGGGGGTGCCTGCGTCAAGAGTTGCTGCCTTTTTGTTTTATTTCGGTATCCAATTTCTACAGCTGCCCATCACAATCAATGATTCTAGGCAGTTCACAGTTCAAAAAAATACCGCAATTAAAAGACTAAAATCATTTTGAAACAGTCCAAAATAAATATACATAGCGCAGCTGGTCAGGCACAAAAGATCAGATCTACATGCGAAGGTTCAGTTAAAATGATTTGTTGCTAAAAGCCTCTGTGCAGGAATCTTCTCAAGCAACGGTTAGCCCCTGCTGGGAGTTTGTTGAGGGCCAATGGAATTCATGCTTGCTTATGGCTACATAGGGATTCTAGGCTGATTCCTCCTTTAACTCCATCTCTCTTCCTACAACAGCCAAGATATTTGACCTGTTAGCAATAAAGCTAGGAAACAGGGACCCTTGACATTCTCACAGCACTATGAGAATTCCATGTTCAGCACAGGGATGGCACGAGGAAAAAAATGGTCCCTGTGTCTGGTGCAAGGCCCTGTAGCACCATCCTGAGGAGACAAACAGATTATGTCCTGGATGTGAGCTGTAGGTATCTTCTCAGCCCTCCTGACCCACGCAATAGGCAGGTCTTCTATGGAGTCATAGGACTTGTGGATGAGGCCTTAAGCCCAGGGGGACCCAGACCAAGAACCCCTCAACCAATGGGGAGCATCAGAAGAGAAATGAGCCTGTGCCCCAGGCGAGCGTCACAATGCTCCAGCTCACACCAAAGTGGATGGAGGCTGGCAGGGGGGTTGCGCCCCTTTGGTGAGCAGCTGATTCCCAAGTCTGAGCTGCAGAGATGCCACATTTCTTTCCGTGTCTGTGGACCAAACTATCTCCAGGAGAGTCCTCTGGTTATAGATGGTGGTGGTGGGGTATCTCCCCATGTAAGAAAACATTTAGAAAAAATACAGATCCCAGCCCTTGACGGAGAGAAGGGAGGAGAAGAAACAAAAGGAAGGGATGAAGGCACCAAGGCCATGCTCGGTTTGGAAGGAGCAGGAGGCAGGAACTGGAGGCAAAGCAGAACCTGGAGCCGGAGTCAAAAGAGGGGTCAACCTAGAATCTCTACGTAGCCACAAATGTACAAATCCAACCCACCATGAATCCCTTTGACCCTTATAAACCCCTAGCAGCTGCTGAACATTAGTTGAGACGATTCCTGTACCAAGGCAATACTTTGGTTTAATTGGACTTTCAGATATGGCTCCTGGTCTTTTGCTTGTGGCCAGATCCAGTTCGCGTGCTGGGCTGGCTGAGTGGGAAGCAGCTAAAAGAGGTCCAGTTCTATGGGTGGGCTTTTTCCAGCTTCTGGACCTGGGGCTGCCTCTCTTCTGGGGCTTCCCCAAGCCCCCCCCCCCTTTCTCCCTCTCCTCTTGAGGCTTCCTTGTTCCCACCTAGTCCCTGTCCCTTGCTGGAGCCCTCCTGTCTCCCTTCTTCCCTCCCTCCAGCCCCCTCCTCCTTTTCCCCTTCCCACCACTGCTCTCCTGCTTGGGCAACAGGCCAAGGAGGTTGGTTGCCTCCAACAGACCAGAGGTAGGGGAGCTGCGTTGCACAGGGCCACGAGAAGGGAAGCTGGCGGGTCCGTTGTGCAACCTGGTCATAGCCGTCCTCCGGAAAGGACAACGTGGATGTGGGCTGAAAACAGATCGAGCTGGCTCCATCTGCAGCAATCCAGTAAGAGCTCAGACGAGGAGACTCGGCCTCTCCTGGGTCTGCGGTGGGAAGAGAGCCGACAGGTTTGAAGGCTGCTGAAGGCTTCTGCCTTCCAAATGTTTGGCTTTGGGAAGCAGCTGGTGGGGTCTGTGCCACTTTTCTGCTTTGGATTGTTTTGGCTCAGTTTGGGTGGGTGGGTGGATGGATTGAATGGTTTCTACTCTGTGTTTACTCACGTCCGTCTTGTGATCTGGGGAACACATGGCACGAAACGTCAAAGCAAAGCATCCTAAAAACTACACGGCCACAGAGCTGAGGCCTCTAAAAGATCTGCAGTCAGTCCCCCCACCCAGGTCACCAGAGGGAGAAGGCGAGTCTTCAAGATTTTATGGGGAAAAAATGGGGGGGAAATTGATGTTTGTAGAACTTTTTCAATAAAAAAAAAAAATTATGGGAGGCTAGCAGGGCCAAGGCCATCTGGGTCTCGGGGGAGGCCGTTCCAACAGACAGGCCGTATAGGTAGTCCTTGACTTGCAGCCGTCATTGAACAACCGAGTTTGAAGGGAGCTTGGAGGTCTTCTAGTCCCACCCCCTGCTCAAGCAGAAGACCTTATACCTTCTGGACGAATAGCTGTCCAATCTCTTCTTGAAAACCTTCAGTGTTGGAGCCCCCACAACTTCTGGTGGCAAGCTGTTCCACTATATTAATTGTTCTAATTATCAGGAAGTTTCTCCTTCATTCCAGGTTGCTTCTGTCCTTAATGAGTTTCCATCCATTGCTTCTTGTCCTGCCTTTGGGTGCTTTAGGGAATAGGTTGACCCCCCCCTCTTCTTTGGTGAAGCCCCTCAAATATTGGAAAACTGCTATCATGTCACCCCTAGTCCTCCTTTTCATTAGACGGCATAGACTCTCTGTGGCACATCTTCCTTTTTGTCCTAGAAGAAGGAAGCTTGAAGGCTTTGGTTGAAAGGTTGAGGGTATTTGCACCGTCCTCTGTCTGGGGGGGGGTCTCTTCTTCCAGGGAGGAAGATGACCTCCCTTCCCCCACCCCACCATGAGCAACACATGTGAGGGACCCTCAAAACTTCCCAAGAAAGCCCTTCAAGCTGACCACTGTCCCTTGTTCAGACAGCCCTCCCCCCCACCACATGAGTTTAATTTCAATTGTCATTTGGCAGCTTCAGTCATCCGGCTCTAAGTGGCTGTGATGTTACGAAGGTAGCGACAAGAAACAAGCAAAAATAAGACGAATAAATTAAAGGC